GAAAATAATCAATAGTATCTGGCGGGATTCCGACCCATAGCAGAGATATACATGTACAAGTGGTTTGAAGTGAAGACCTGAATCAATCATCACATTGGGAAAGGGTGGCGCAAGGACAAAAGTCACATAACTAGCTAACACAATAAAGGTAAAAAAATAATTTTTAAAAGAAAATTTAATGAAATAATGTACAGGTTTTATTGTATGGCATTTTTACAAACAGTAACGTGTAACTATATTGCACTGTGTCAAATTGACACAAAGTAAAGAACCAAAAAAAAAAAAAAAAAAAAATTCTAAATACTGATCAGACATAAATCTCGTATCAAAAATACACATTATCTTTAAGTCTTATGTATACAATTTAAAAAACTTATTCTTAAAAACAGTTCAAACAAGTGACCAACAGTACAAGACAGCAGAATTACTAATCTCACTCCATTGACCAATCGAACTCCTCGGCTATTAACACATGATAACCTCGGAATTGAAAGTAGTTCTGCCACGTGGTTTTAGATGTAGACAAATACAGGCAGTGTAATAATGTATAGCTAATGTATATATTTGACACCCAAAAGTACCGGCTCTTTCGGTAAAATTATGATTGAAAAATATGTCTGACAATTAAATTGAATTTAAAAATGCCCACTGATGCACAAAATTATAAACAAATCCGAAATGATGTAAACAAGTAGACATTTTGTACTTCCGGTTTCTACAACCATAATAATAATTAAATAACTATTTGTTTACATGTTTAATTTATAAGCGTTGTTTAGAACGAAACAAGCAAATTCGTTGAATTTATATCCCCCGCCGAGTACTGGTTATTATTAACACAACAACTGAAGACAAAAGGCTTTATTTATATATTAATCATGGCATAAACAGTAATATTCTTTGAACTTGATAAATATTCAGGGCAATAACAGAGCCATAACTTTGTGTTAAATAGTTAAATCTGGAAATGCCAATGAGATGATATGCATACTACATAACTAATCAAGGGCCATAAATCTGAGTTATAAGTATCTGACTGGAACAAGGCGACTATATGCACATCTCCTCTTAGTATCCCATAAAGTTTCATTGAATTCCAGCCAGTAGTAGCAGAGAAGTAGCGAGGAAACAAATATTTTTCTATATGGATACTGCATAACTAATCAAGGGCCATAACTCTGAGTTAAAGTGTCTGACCGGAACAAGCCAACGATATGCGCATCTCCTCTTGGTATTGAAGGTTCCATAAAGTTTCGTTGAATTCCAGCCAGTAGTTGCAAAGAAGTAGTGCGGAAACGATTTTTACTCCATATGCATATTGCATAACTAATCAAGGGCCATAACTCTGAGTTAAAGTGTCTGACCAGAACAAGCCGAACGATATGCGCATCTGCCTCTTGGTATTGAAGGTTCCCATAAAGTTTCGTTGAATTCCAGCCAGTAGTTGCAGAGAAGTTAGCGGCGGAAAGATTTTTACTCGATATGCATACTGCATAACTAATCAAGGGCCATAACTCTGAGTTAAAGTGTCTGACCGGAACAAGCCGACGATAATGCGCATCTCCTCTTGGTATTGATGATTCCAATAAAGTTTTGTTTGAATTCCAGCAAGTAGTTGCAGAGAACTACTCCGGAAACGATTTTTACTCTATATGCATACTACATAACTAATCAAGGGCCATAACTCTGAGTTAAAGGGTCGGACCGGAACAAGCCGACGATATGCGCATCTCCTCTTGATATTGATGATTCCCATAAAGTTTCGTTGAATTCCAGCCAGTAGTTGCAGAGAACTACTCCGGAAACGAAATTCGGACGGACGGATGGACGGACGGACAACGCCAAAACTATATCCCCCTCCCGATTCCATCGGCGGGGGATAATAATACCGTATTAGTTCTGTATATTCTTACTATTGTGTTTGAAGTCTGAAATTTGACGGAAAGAGCCGAGATGATGTGTCTGTCTATTGGCAGCAGATTTAAAACGCATTTACTTCCATGATGCCTATTTATATACGTTGTATTAGAACTATTTCATGAAATTTAACAATCCTCATTTTTCAGTGTCTTCATAAACAAGAGGGCCATGATGGCCCTGAGGTCGCTCACCTGTATATAGGCCCCCACCCCCCCCCCCAACGTTGCAGGGCCAATTTAACCCAAGGGCTTTTATTTGCACAATCTTGGGTAGACACCCATAAGAAGATGTTTCATGCTAAACATCTAAGCTCTAGCTCATTGGGCTTTTTAAAAGAAGATTTTTTTAAAGTTTTTACTATACACATATAGTTAAAAACAATGACACCCCTGGGGCCGGGCCAGTTTTGACCCCCAGGGCTTTTATTTGAACAAACTTTGAAGACACTTACTAGAAGATGTTTCGTGCTTAATATCTAAACTCTAGCTATTTGGGTTTTTTCAAAGAAGATTTTAAGTTTTTGCTATACACATATAAAGAAAATCAATGACCCCCGGGGCGGGGCCAATTTTGACCCCAGGTCTTTTATTTGAACAAACTTTGTAGACACTCACTAAAAGATGTTTCATGCTTAATATCTAAACTCTAGCTATTTGGGTTTTTTCAAAGAAGATTTTTTAAATTTTTGCTATACATGTATAAGGAAAATCAATGACCCCCGGGGCGGAGCCAATTTTGACCCCAGGGCTTTTATTTGAACAAACTTGGTAGACACCTATTAGAACATGTTTGATGCTAAATATCTTAGCCATTGCTCTTTGATTTCTTTAAAAGAAGATTTTTTTAAGTTTTTACTATATGCATATAGGGAAAATCAATGACCCCACCCGGGCGGGGCCAATTTTAAACCCAGGGCTTTTATTTGAACAAACTTGGTAGACACTTATTAGAACATGTTTCATGCTAAATATCTTAGCTCTAACTCTTTTGGATCTTTAAAAGAAGAATTTTTTAAGTTTTTACTATAAATGCATATAGGAAAAAATCAATGACCCCCCTGGGGCGGGGCCAATTTTGACCCCAGGGCTTTTATTTGAACAAACTTGGTAGACACCTATTAGAACATGTTTGATGCTAAATATCTTAGCCATAGCTCTTTGATTTCTTTAAAAAAGTAAGATTTTTTAAGTTTTTACTATATGCATATAGGGAAATCAATGACCCCCCGGGGCGGGGCCAATTTTTTAAACCCCAGGGCTTTTATTTGAACAAACTTGGTAGACACTTATTAGAACATGTTTCATGCTAAATATCTTAGCTCTAACTCTTTTGGATCTTTAAAAGAAGATTTTTTAAGTTTTTTACTATATGCATATAGGGAAAAATCAATGACCCCCTGGGGCGGGGACAATTTTGACCCCAGGGCTTTTATTTGAACAAACTTGGTAGACACCTATTAGAACATGTTTGATGATCAATATCTTAGCCATAGCTCTTTGAGTTCTTTAAAAGAAGATTTTTTAAGTTTTTACTATATGCATATAGGGAATATCAATGACCCCCCGGGGCCGGGTCAATTTTGACCCCAGGGCTTTAATTTGAACAAACTTGGTAGACACCCATTAGAACATGTTTCATGCTAAATATCTTAGCTCTAGCTTTTTGGGTTCTTTAAAAGAAGATTTTTTAAGTTTTTACTATATGCATATAGGGAAAATCAATGACCCCCTGGGGCGGGGCCAATTTTGACCCCAGGTTTTTTATTTGAACAAACTTGGTAGACACTCACTAGAAGATGTTTCATGCCAAATATCTAAGCTCTACCTCTTATGGTTTTTGAAAAGAAGATATTTAAAGTTTTTTCTTTCGGTTGCCATGGCAACCAGAGTTCTGCATGGAATTAAATTCTTTGAACAATTTTTAAAGGTGACCACCAAAGGAACATTCCTGTGAAGTTTGGATGAAATTGGCTAAGTGGTTTATGAGGAGATGTCATTTAAAGTAAAAGTTTACGGACGGACGGACGCCGGACGAAAAGCGATCACAAAAGCTCACCCTGTCACTTTGTGACAGGTGAGCTAAAAACTATAATTTGATAAAATGCAAATCCCCTGAAGATAAACAAGGAAATAAAAAAGGCCAGCTTTAAAAATATTTTGTTCCCCCTACAATATTAAGATGTGATTCTCATTGACTGACTCTGATTCAATAATAAAAAAATTAATTTCTGATTTTGCTCAGCAATAAAAATGATTTTTGTGGTTAAGTAGTGGGAAACAAATATTTTATACAATATTTATTGGTCCAACAAGGTAGGAAACTCAAAGATGTCCCATTGACATTGATAATAAAAAAAAATTAAACAAAGTGAGAAAAAAAAGTGCAAAAAATCTATTTTTAGCCTCAGTGACCTTGACCTAGTTAACCTCACACGATAGCGGTCCTATGATAAAAGGTCAATGGATGTTTCCTACACACTAGATATCTTAAATATCAGTCAACAAATAAAGATGCTATGAGAAATGGTAAGTTAATGTGATAGGTAATGTATATGCTAAACTTATAACATTCAAAGAGAGCATTAAAACTATACAAGCTTGAGATCAAAAGTTTTAAATGTTTCCAACCACATTACTGTGGAAAGGTAATAATCACAACCTAGGTTAGGTTTAAACTTAACAACCCAAAGTTACTGTCAATTAATACTGCTTAAGAAATAGTATGTAGACATTTATTGTTATCATACTAGTACCAATCAAACTGTGCCTACATAAGTCTTTATCAATATTTTCATTTTTTTTTTTTTTTTTTTTTTTTTTTGGTTGGGTAATATCACATATGGCACAACCTTCCAGCAATCTTTTTCCCCAGAAGACGTCAGGTGACACTTTGTGCATTTTTCAAGAACAAGCAAACGTATGCCTTCAAGATAGGTCCTTCACATGAAAGAGTCACAAATCCCTTGCAGTAAACAGTATGCATATGATTCTTTATCAGCTACCCTGGCCACTTGGTCATGATGGTCTCTCAATAGTTTTATGAATGTTTTTGGAATGCTAATAACTTCACGTCTTTTACAAACAAAACTCCAAAGCATTGTTATCTCATTTTACTTCGCATTACACTTGCCTCAATTATCAAATGACACTTGACCCTTGTTTTTATCTTCCTGGTCTATAAGGTGTAAATATAGCTTTCAATGTGGTCAACATGTATTGCCAGATCAATGTCAATTTACCAAGATACAAGGATGAATTACCTGAAATGTATATATTTGAAAACTTGTGTACATTTTTTGTTAGGTAACAAAGGTAACCAGTCAACATATCAGTAATACAAGATGACTGTAAATAAAGTGGTAATTAACTGATTGCAGAGAAAATCAAACTTTACTTATGTTTTCATATTACATTCTTTCATGCCAAATATAAACACATTTAGTAAAATCCTTTTAAAGTTATTACATAGAAATCAGTAATTTCACAGAAAATTTTGCTGAACTAGGGACACAACTCTTCCAATAATGGGTTGATTTAAATGAAAATCGAACTTAAGTCTTGATATAAAAAGCTTACATGCCAAATTTAAACACAATCAGTGAAATCCTTTAACAGTTCTGCTACATAAACCAATTATCTACATACAGACAAAGGGACAACGTCATACCATAATATGTTCAAAAAGTCTCCATGCATATAAAAGGTTATCATAAATACATTGAACAACAAACCTTTCAAGTAAATTTTAGCCAACACACAACAGCTCACTATAGCTACTGCAATCTTCCATAAAATATCAGGTGCTGGGAAGGAAAGTTTGCTGGCAAGTAAACAACCAAAGTACTTCATGTGTTTCATAATTGAAGATTCTGACTCTGAAATAAAATATCAGTATAAGTATAATATACATGTAATAATCCCGAGTAGTGATAAAAGCGTGTCTATCTCACCCATAAAAAGGGCCATATGGAGGCTGGTCAGTCTGCATTTCCCAACACAGTGTTCCCATTAATATTTAAAACAACTTAGGGTAAGAAATAATGTTTTTGTTTTCATCCTTACTCTCTCGTTATGAAATATATCTCCACAAAACTCTTAAGACCTTTGGGTAATGTTAGTATTAACTGCCCTTGTGTTATGGTATCAATCACAGTTTGATATTGAACAAGTATACCAAGTTCTAAGCAAAATAACTTTGATAGTTTCTGAAAAAATTGATTTTAACAAAAAGATAAAAGGAACATGTAATTGATACATGTATTTTCATCTAAAAGCAAGAGAATATATGTTCCTACTTTCATCACTAAGCAAGTCTTTACAGTTCTATAGACATAGTAATAATAATTGAGGCGCGTCACCACAAAACCAACGCAATGCATTTGCGACCAGCATGGATCAAGACCAGCCTGCGCAACCGCACAGTCTGATCAGGATCCATACTGTTCCCTTACCAACTCTATAACAAGTAGAGAAACTGATAGCGAACAGCATGGATCCTGATCAGACTGCGCAGGCTGGTCTGGATCCCTGCTGGTCGCAAACGCACTATGTTGGTTTTTTCGTGACGCGGCTCATGTGTACTCAAAGCAACAGTGCTTAATACAGTCATGTCCAGTGATCTTGCGCACTCGGCACCGGCAGTATATTTCCTTTTGTTTAGTTGTTTGTTAATGCTTTTGCTAGAAATTTTCAGCCAAAACTTGTGACTTGGACATAAACAAGGTAAGAAAGTTAAAAAAAATATCAGTCAAACATGTTTGTTTACATTATTTCGTCATCCTAATTATTTATTCATAAACACGCCCACTGACCTATTTTCCCATTATATTCCTGTCTGTTCATTCAGTTCCAAAATTTTACTTCCAGCAAGAATGAAAATCAAAATCACACATATGAAAACAGTATTGCACAGATAAAACGTTGTAAATTTCCTTTTTTCCCTTTGCAAATAAAGGTGTGCATGTATGTCGGTCAAAAGCTATACATAGCTTATGTTTTGTAAAATGTTATATATGTATACCGACAATAAATAAATTTTGATTTGATTTGATTTGATTTGAAAGGTGTATTCAGTTGTTATCTCCTGCCGATTCCCGCCATCTTGTCAATTTTTTTTCTCGGGAAGCGTAATAAGGTCATCTTTTACGAAATTTGAAAAGAAAATGAATGACTAAAACAGAACAACGATTTTCATCATTAAAAATAAAATTTAAAAAGTAAGATAAAAGTGATGATTTCAGGTGTCCCAGGTGTAGTAGTGAACAGTAAAATAACAAACCCTTGATGTAAATAAGTTTGTGTTACAGTTTTGTTTGAACAGTTTAAATTAACTTTTCATTAACTGGACTCACAAACTTTATATTGATAGTACTACCGGGACACCATACTTTAAAACGAGCTACCGTGACGTCATTCATAACACATGCGCAAGATCACCGGACAATCGAATGTTGGGATTAAACATGGTGTTAAGTGTTTACATTGTTGCACTCTTGCAGTTCAATGAGTTATTTCCAAAATATATTTGTGTTATTATATGTGTTTAAGATTTTTGCAAATAGGAAAATAATTATGATTTTTTTGTATTTATTTAAATCGTAGTAAATTAGCCGATAAGTGCTTAGGTGCGCAAGATAACCGGACGGCATCATACAGCTAACACAGGAGCCCCCAACAGACTTTCTATGCTCTAAGCAAGCAAGACATCACTATCTGTCTTCTCTGCTCACTCACCAAGAGGGTAACCTCCACTAGAGTTTCTGTCCTCTTTCAAAGAGAGATAATCCAAACTGACTTTAATTCTCTCTTAATAAGAAGTACTCCAACCTGACTCATCTGTCAAGACAGAAAAAACTTGTACAATAAGTACCAACTTTGTGTGAGATATTAATACAGATATCATAACAGTACCTTCTATATTTTTTGGTTCCTCCTCATCACAAACAGCATCCTTCTCTTTTGATGTTTCTGTGTTTTTCGATTTAGAATCTTCTTGTAATTTTACATTAAGTTTTTCACAATGTTTTAACATTTTATCCTTCATATCTTGAGTCAGGAATGTGCACGAGTTTAAAAACTGTGGAACTAATAGAAATCTGTCTTGTGGAAGCATAACATGTTCAATATAAAGGGCAGCAACTCTGTCATAACCTGGTTTGTAAGAGTTATCTTCATTTCTTAACCATAAACTTGCTAGGGCGTGACACTGAGAATATTCCTTCACTCTTGCATGTAATAATATACTGAAACAAACAAAAAAATATATTAGAATCAATTAAATGGGTTTATCATTTTAATCTCATATAGTTTTTATTTCCCCTACTTAAAGCTACATTAAATAAATTTCATAAAAACAGAAATAGTGACATTTCATTAATAAATTTGGTTTCATATCGACTCCAAATCTTATTATGGTGTCAAGACAACCACAATGAGTTTTATAAGCATACATATCTGCGACCTCATTGTGACGAAATCAGAAGTACAATTTCTGTTTGCATAATTTGCATAAGAAACTCCGCCTTCGGATTATCCGTACATCAATATTAAATCAATAAACATGGCGATAAGTAGCAGTCCTAATATAACGGTATATTTCCGCATTGTAACGGATGTTTTCATACAAATTTAGTATTTTTATGAGATGATTACTCTTTTTCTGAACGCCATGCCAAGTGCACCGTGAAGCGTTAAACTGTTAAAGTGTGTTTGCACATGAAAATCTCATATTTTCTGTGTTCTGTAAAGCAACTATAACACTGTGACGTAGCACATACACGAACTTATTATAGTCTTCATTTGCATGTTAAAATTCGTATACGAACTTTAGTGTTACCGTGGGGTTTTCCCTTTATAATCCTAATTTATGACCAATATTTGATGAGATTTACAACAATACTGTTAAAAAGGTTAATGAAACTGTATAATGCTTCGTTTTTAGGCTGACTGCAAAATATTTTTACATATTTATTTAATGTAACTTTAAATGTTCCAACAAATATTCATTTAAAATTAACATTACTTCAAAATTATATAAATATGTGTAGAAATATGTGTATATGTTTTCCTTCAAAATTTACATTAAATTCGACATGACTACATTAACCCATTACTTCATAAAGACGTCTTTTTGCGCCTTAACAACCCCCCCCCCCCCCCCCCGCTTTTTTTTGAGACCTCAAATAGTGAAAAAAAATTGCCCTATGTAGACCCCAAACATCTGTTTTCGATTAAGAGATGTTGTTGAAAAAGTGATCACTCTTTCGGTGCCATCCCATCAAAGAGATACATCAGGGGGGGGGGGGGGGTTGAAGGGGGGGGCAGCAGCAGCCCCCCCCCCAATGGCCAAGAAGATTTTAGACTTATGAGAGGCTAAAATTGGCTTCAGTTCGATCTTAAGGTAAAGTTTTACCAACACTGAAAAGCCTTTGACTCTGTCTCAATCTAATTCTTTTGAGAAGTTGCAGCACTTTGAAATCAGTTTTGATGGAAAATATCACAACACAAAAAAGTGATTTTTGGCAATATTGAGATGTCCACTTGTTGCCATGGTAACAGGAAATTTAAAACTGAGCATGCTGTTACAAAGGCAATGGTAGAGTAAACATTTGTGCCAAGTATGATTAGTATTGAAGCATTTTTATAGTTTCATAGCAATTTGAACTTGTAACGGAAGACTTTTCAATGAATGCTCATTATGATCATTCAGTAATGGGTTAAGTTACTTTACGAAATTACCACATTACAACACCTGTTTGAATAAACATTTCTCTTAAAAAAAAACTGTTATAATGTTATTTAAGTATTTAACCACAGCTGTAAAAATTTATTTTTACCACAATGTATGCATTTTCCTACTACAAACGTTTACCAATTTAAGGCAATAAGCATAACTTTATCTTACCACAATTGTATCACTAAACTAGGACAAAGTTCAATATTGTTGTAGACATCTTGAATCAATGGTAATACATCTTGCCATTTATTCATTTCAGCCAATGCCTGAATACACAAAACACAAAGACGTTCAATGCAATCTTGGGCTCTGAAAATATATGAAGAACTTTTAGACAAGGATAAAATTTAATGAAACTAAACAAGAACCGGTTGAATCGGGTGATGCTCCCTGAAAAGGTTTTGGACACAGAAAAGAATACCTCTTGAAGTGTCAGAGTTATGTCCCTGACAACGTTCAAAGTTCAAAAATGAACAAAGGGCATAACTCCAAAATTAGGCAAGACAGACATACCATTCTTTTGAACTACACTTCTACTCAATGAGATCTATCTACCTACAAAGTTTTATGTTGATATCTTCTGTTAAAGTTTCAGAGATATGTGTCAGACAAAGTTCAAAGTGTAAAAATGAACAAAGGGCAATACATCCAAAATATGTCAAGTCAGAGTTATGGTTCTTGTGCACTGCACATGTACTCAATGAGATCCATCTACCTACACAGTTTATGCTGATATCTCTTATAGTTTTAGAGTTATGTTCCTAAGAAAGTTCAAATTATAAAATGAACAAAGGGCAATTACTCCAAAATTGGGCAAGGCAGAGATATGGTTCTTTTGCAATGCACTTCTACTCAATGAGATCTATCTACCTACAAAGTATCATGTTGATATCTCTGATAATTTTAGAGTTGCCCCAGACAAAGTTCAAAGTATAATAATGAACAAATGCTTCAAAATTAGGCAAGGCAGAGTTATGGTTCCTGTGCATTGCACACCTAACTCAATGAGATATACATGCATGTATTTACCTACAAAGTTTCATGTTGATACCACTTGTTGTTTCAGAGTTATGTCTCGGACAGTCACAAGAATAGCAGTGAGTGGACAAACAAAGCAGGGATTATATGCTCAACCTTCGAGTAGCATGAAAACTAAGACACTATTCTAATAAAATTTCTATACAGAGATGTAGATTACTCTATCAAACTCCTCACAGTGATTACCTCCCTTGGCTAATTGTATTCACTGATAAGGGGAGATCACTGTGTAGCAGTTTGGTTATCCTCAGACTCCATAGAAAAGCGCAATCTCCACGCAGTGATCTCCCCTTAATTATTCGGCGTAGATCTCTGCCACCAAGGTCCCAATATATCAGAATTTCTGATATATTATATTTTTTCAAAAATTGTTTTATCTACTGCTTTTATCTATCAGATAAGTTTTCTCTCATTTATTTAACAATGTTTATGAATAAATAAATAAATAATATGAATATTTAGAAATAATTTTAAAAATTATGAGATTATTTTCTACCGAGACGATATTTTGATATTTTATATTTTTTAGCTTTTGAATTTATTTTCCGTTATTTTGTATACTTTCGATAATTTTTTGATAAACTATATCGAACGTAGGCACTTAAAGTTAAAAATAAAACAGAAAAAGAAAAATAACGTTAGATTTTCTTTGTAACGGTCGATATTTACATTTGAATTTCGACGTTACGTCATGTGACTTTCATCATCATGTGACGTCTTTGAAGGCAGTGATTACAATTCTGCCAAGGGAGGTAATCACTGTGAGGAGTTTGAGAAAAGCGATGCCTGTTACTCTTAACAACCAATTGGTACTTTGTCCATGTATATTTATTAATATAACCATTAGATATACCTTTGAAAATGTCATCTGTATAAATTATACTACAAAATAATTTGAACAGTTCAATAAAGAGGACGCAAGATATTTTGTAGAATCTACCTTTCATCTTCAATAAACTGTTTAGCACGTGTTATTCCGCATAAGCACGTATATCGACAATCAACAAAGTCTTTCAACAATAAATTATCAGTGGCGCGGTCCACAAAACCGTTCAATTCACTTGATAAATCCATTTTATTTATCAGGGATTCCACTTTGGGACTCGATAATCTTCCACTTTTGGGGAAATCAGCGTAGCCGCCATTTTCATATCATGTGACATAGAAAAGGGGGGGATAATCGACGGTCTCCACAAAATCGACGGTCTTTGACGGTCTCCAAAGACCGTCGAAGACCGCCTATTGCAGGAGACTGTCGATTAGTAGGTTATCACACAAATCGACGGTCTCGCGATGAATTGATAAGAATAATTTAGAAATAATTAATAATAGGTCAATTTTTTTTTCTTTTTCGACGATACTTTATTTATGTCAATATTTAAGGATATTAATGGGGAAGAAATGATTAGATAAAAAAGGGAAAAATATAAAAAATATGGGGAAATAAGATGTTGATATGCAGCAAATTAGATAAACACATTAACAGTGAAATATATTGAAATATAAAAATGCTATTGAATTTATTAATGAATATCAAGGTCTTATATTTTTATTTAGATATATTATTATTATTAGTAGTAGTAGTAGTTAGTAGTAGTAGTAGTAGTAGTAATTTGAGCTTAAGCTATGTACATATAAATTTGTAAATTTATGCATATTTGTATATATTCTAAAGACCGTCAATGGGGAGAGACCGTCGATTTGTAGTTTATAGATAAAGACGGTCTCATGGTATAGTTTTATGTCTACAAAGAACGTCGATTGCAGTAGATGGTTGATTAGCAGGTTACTATACAAATCGACGGTCTCGTGATGATGGATATTACCAGGTACGTATATTAATATACGTACCTGATATTACATAGTTATTAATTATTTTAGCCGGTAAATAAGTAAATTCTCTAAGAAAATAATTTATTGATTTCAGTAATTTTTTTTATAAATTGTAGAATAACAAATACGATTTAAAAATGAATAAGATAAAACATAATTAACATGCCATTTTTTATTTTATTATTTTTAATTGTTTTTTTTTTAATACAATGAAATATTTTGGAATATAAAAATGCTGTTAATTTATTTTTAAAATATCAATGTCTAATATTTTTATTTATATCATAAGTAATAGTAGTAATTAGTAGCAGTAATATAATTTCGATGTTTTAGCTTAAAAAGTACATACATAAATTTGTGAGTTGTATATATTCTAAAGACCGTCGAAGACCGTCAATGGTGAGAGACCGTCGATTTGTAGTTTATGGACCGTTGATTGTAGATGACCGTCGATTAGTAGGTTACTATACGAATCGACGGTCTCGTGTTATTAATATATGTTGCCAGCCAATAAACATTTTTCTAAGACTATAGTTTTTTTTGTGTCAATTTTTTTTTGATGATTTGTCAAAAAAGAAAATAAGATATTCCTTAAAAAAGGATAAAATATGATTAATATGATTTTTTGATGACTGTCAATTAATCGATAGATCATTGTTATTTTTCCAGATTTCTTCTTTTTGTATATATGAGTGGTTTTTATTTGTATTTTTTTAAAAATATCATCTTCATCGATAATATTATCATTTGTATAAGTGATAATAGCATAGTCAGAATAATTTAAACAGAAAAAATATTAATTTGTAAGTGTGCACACAATTGTCTAAGACCGTCGAAGACCGTCAACAGGAAGAGACCGTCAATTATAGTCTACAGTAGTTTGATTGACGGCCTCGTGGATACCGTCGATTAGTATGTTACTACACAAATCGACGGTCTCGTGATTATATATGAATTAAATGGATATTATATAGTTATTTATTAATTTAGCCGGTCAATTAATGAGCAAAACTTTTTTTTTTAATTTCTTTTCCTTTTTCTTTTTTTTTTCTTTCACTTTTTTAGTCTCAGATTTTATGTTACATGAACTCCCTCTATATTATTATTATAAGTAGAAGTATAATCTCGATATTTTTAATTTAAAAATCTATAAAAATGTGTTGGTTTACGCACAATTGTGTATATTTTAAAGACTCTTAATTTATATAATTGAAGACCGTCAATTGAGAGAGACCGTCGATTAGTACATGTAGTATAATAAATATAGACCGTCTCGTGGTATGGTTATGTCTCCAAAGATCGTTGATTGTAGGAGACCGTCGATTAGTAGGTTACATGAATCGACGGTCTCGTGTTATTAATCTATGTTGCCAGCCAATAAGCATTTTCTCTAAGACGATAGTTTATTTGTTTCAATTTTTTGATGATTTGTAAAAAAAAGCAAATAAAATATTCCTTTAAAAAAGAATATAATATATTTAATATGATTTTTATATGACTGTCAATTAATTGATAGATCATTCTTAATTTTTCCAGATTTCCCCTTTTTGTATTTATGAGTGGTTTTTATTTGTATTTTTTTTAAATATTAACTTCATCGATAATATTATCATTTGTATAAGTAATAGTAGTATACTCAGAATAATTTAAACAGAAAAACTGTTAATTTGTAAGTTTGCACACAATTGTGTAAGACCGTCAACAGGGAGAGACCGTTGATTATAGTGTACAGTAGTTTGATAAACATCGACGGTCTCGTGGAGACCGTCGATTAGTAGGTTACTATACAAATCGACGGTCTCGTGGTATTAATTTATGTAGCCGGCAAATAAGCGTTTCCTCTAAGACGATAGTTTATTGATGTCATATTTTTCTAATTTGTAAATAACTGATATGTTTAAAAAAAATAAAACATAATTATCATGACAATAAACTGTTTAAAGACTGACAATTTGTTAGATAGATCATTGCTATTTTTCCAGTTTTTTCTTTTCTTTTTTTCTTTTCTTTTTTTCTTTTTTATTTTTACATCAACTTCATCGATATTATTATCATTATTAGCAGTAATAGAAGTATAATATCATATTTTAACATATAATATAAATTTGTAAGTTAACGCACTATTGTGTAAGACCGTCGAAGACTGTCAACAGGGAGATACCGTCGATAAATTAACATATTTTTTTTGAAGACTGTCGATTAGTAGATAAATAAGTGTTTTCTCTAAGACGATAGCATTAATTGGTGTCATTTTTTCTGATTTGTAAATAACTCATAAGTTTGAAAAAAATGTTAAAACATAATTATCATATGACAATAAACTGTTTAAAGACAAACAATTTGTTAGACAGATCATTGCTATTTTTTCCCACTTTTTTTTCTTTTCCCTTTTTTATTTTATTTTTACATCAACTTCATCGATGTTATTATCATTATTAGCAGTAATAGAAGTATAATATCATTTTTAACATATAATATTAAATTGTAAGTTAACGCACTATTGTGCAAGACCGTCGAAGACCGTCAAAAGGGAGAGACCGTCGATTATAGTCTACAGTAGTTTTATAAATATCGACGGTCTCGTGATTACCATACAAATCGACGGTCTCGTACGTGGTATTAATTTATGTAGCCGGCAAATAAGCGTTTTATCTAAGACGATAGTTTATTTATTGATATTATTTTTATTATTTGTAAATAACTAATAAGTTTGAAAAAAATGTTAAAACATTATTATCATGGCAATAAATTGTTTGAAGACGAAGTGTCATAATTGCATGAATCTGCCAGGTACGGCCGGAATAGGTTGGAGAGACAGGAACGTATCTGCAAAGTATGTGGTATCAAAGAAATTGAAGATGAATTTCATTTTGTACTTAAATGTAAAGCTTATAAAGAATTGCGAACTAAATATATTAAACGTTATTATTATGTTCATATAACTTGCTGGTTCTTTAAACGCCAACTTTCAGTTATGATAATTTATTCATTCTCTTGCTGTGAAACACTGAAAACATGTTCGCTTATCACGTCTTTATCATTGCATGTATTTAATTTCATGTTGTATTAACAAGATACATGTATTGTATACGTTCTGTTCTGATCATTAATCGACTGAACTTCTTCAGGCCCATATAACTACGTTTCACGCTAAATTATTGAATAACACACAAATATCGCACTAAAGGTGGGGGTCGCGAATTGCGGCAACATACTCCAACAACTATTTATGACCCAGTGACATCTGCTCAATATTAAACGCTTAAACGATAATGGTATTCCTGATTAATATCGTTTTATAGCAGAAATTTCCTTCACATACATCAGCAGACATCGATGATGTTATTGTATTAAGCAGATCTCTTCGAATATTTATCCTTAATTTATTGAACTTTTATAGAAATATTCAGGTTAGATAGTTTCACCAATTTGTTCATTGTATTTACTCCTTACATTTACATTTTTACGGCTGCGTTTTTATTGACGCTATACGTTATAAACGAAAAAATGTCAAATCTTCTTTATATTTTGGGACCTTATAATATCTAATGTGATTATGAACAGATAGAACGGTAATAAAAAAAGGTGGATTTTTTTTTACCTTTTTCCTTTTTCAATGCATACAGAACGTATTATTTCCATTTGTAGATATTTATTGACTTTTGTATAATAAATTAATTAACTTACTCGATATATTATTATATTTGGTACCTTTATTAATATACTGATTGATAGCTTTAAATGGAAAGAAAGTGAAAATAATTTCATTCTAAATTACTTCTGCACATTGTCTTAGACAAGTAGTTTGTCTAAGGACAATTGTGGACTTAGGCATCTTGGTGTAAAAATGATAACGATCTCTGATTAGCTTATCTCTTTGACCCCTGCCAGCTTGATTGACAGGCGCAATGTTTTTTTCTTCACATTAGCTGGTTTTATTTTACATTGCCTTTAAGTATATTTCTTGTTTGTATATAAATGCATTTTGTATATTTCCTTAACCATTATTTTTACCTTTTTCATTTGCCAATTCATTTGCCAGACAGATTTTTAAAACACAAATTGTGCTGTAAAGAAATCAATTTCAATTAATTTCTGAAATAAATTTTTTGTAACTTTTGTAACTTTTCTTGTGCAAAATTTATTATAAAATAGTCTCTCATTTTTTTTTCGCAATTCCAATTATGTAATAAATATTGTATAATAACCTATATATTAATCGACGGTTCGACCGTCGACGGTCTTTTGTTGTGAATAACTTTATGTATATTAAGTCAAAAATGTATTTATTTCATTAAGACAAT